GGAAGGCAGAATGGCACTGCACACATCCATCTCCGGACGTGTTTTCGAAGGTCTCCTGATGTCATGTTTTCCTGTACCCATCTTCTTCCCCTCCCCTCTTTTAAAATTAAGTTTCAAGAGTGCATTTGAATAAATGACTGTGCTCGTACCCAAAGGGAACATCGGAACTTGGGAAGCATGAGGAAATTCTTTTAAAAAACAAACAAACACTCTGATTTTTGGTTCCAACCCGCCAGACCTCCGTCATGACAAGTTGTTTCACAGTTACGTCGCGGCAGACTGTCAGTGCTCTGTGTGTTTCCTGACACCATTCCACAGCAGAGGGCTCCAGACCAGCTCCAGGCGCCACTGTCTGCCAGGAGCTCTCGCTGAGACCGTAGAAGGTTGCCTGGCCTGCACGCGCGGCAGGCTGGCTGTGCCAGGGAGTGGCCAGCCCCCAAAAGCCGCCCACAGGAATTGATGTATAAATACCCCAGCTCCCTCACCCCTCGGTGGAATTATTTTCAGGGGTGCATGTGGGATAATTTCCCTGCAAGGAAATATATGAGGATACATTGCAATATATTGAAATACACAAAATGCATGATACATTTCATAATATAGACCAGTCCCCGCAGGAGGGGACTGGTGGTCACTGGCATGACACGCACTCTCCCTGGCTGCCTCTTCTTCCCTGAACCACTTCCCCACTCTCTTACTGAAGTTGGCTGGACCTCGCAAATCAATTGCCCTTGACTCCTTGTCCCCGCATCTATTTCTAGGGGCCTCCAAACTAAGACGCGGGCCATCATTCCTCCAGCAAAATGAGGACAGTTGTTGTTTCCTTGAAATAGACAGTGATGCGTTAGGGCCCAAGAAAAGGCTCTGTGGCCTCACTGACGAGGTCGTCCCTTTTCCCCGAGACACAGTCAGCGTCTCCTCCCCGCCTTCGCCTCCTCCCACCCTCTCACGGGCCTGAAGTCACACGGCTGTGTTGTCAGGTCTCCAGGAAGGCCGTACTGGCAAGAACAGAGTTTCCAGGTGGCCGAAGGGGAGCATGGAGCTACCAGTAAAAACCGAGACAGAACTTTGTAAAGAGATGTCTGTCTTCATTTCCTAGGCCCAGGGGCTGTGATGAGGTGAGCTCACGGCAGTGTTAGCAAACTCAGGTTCTGCTGCTCACCGCTCAGAAGCCAGTAACTGAGAGGCAAGTGTTGATGGAAAGGAAAGGTGCTTCCATCAGAAAAGCCAGCGATCTGGGGAGAAGGGGGACTCATGTCCCAAGACCAACTCCAAAGTGTCTGCTCAGCCAGGACAGTTTAAAGGGGAAAAGGGGGGAGACCCTCAGGAAGCATCGGGGCAGGAGCTTGGTCCTGCGCCATCTCCACTGCGTGCAGACCGGCTGACTCTCTTCAGATGTTACCTTGTCCCTGTGACCCGCCTGCAGGGATGCTAAGCGGGCAGTGCGGGGTGGAAAGCAAGTCATTCTTAAACTGCTTGACTCTTCATTCTTACTTCTCCTCATCCAGGAAGAGGATCAACAGGTGAGGCGAGACACGGGGCGCATTCAGGAGAGCGCAAGCCAGGAGTCCTGCTCAGTCGCCTGGTGACCTCCTCCCTGTAACTAGGTCCTCTGCAGGTTCGAGGGGGACAGAAATGGGCCAACAGGAAAAGGGGAAAGAGCTGCCTTCAGCAACAAGGCAGCTGAGCCTTCAAGGGTTTTATAGGATCACATTTCAACCCAAGCCAACGCTCTGGTCTGGAGACGTGTGACCCGTCCACATACCCCTCAGCTCCTGGAGAAAGCAAACCAGGCACAAGAGAGGGTTCTCGATGTCAACGAACTGGAAATGCACAGAGGAAGCAGGGCAATGCCTGGAAGTCCATCCCCCCCGCCCCAGTCAGAAGCTGCCAGCAGAACGAGGCGTTCAGTTCGGAGGGCAAAGCCCCAGACACACGGGCGCACGGCGGCTCCCCACTTACCCCAGGGCCGCCTCCCACGACGCTGACCTGACAGTGCGTGTGTCTTAGAGCCTTCTGACTTACGTTGTTGGAGCAGACGTGCTCGCTACTTTTCCACCATTGATGTGCAAAATTATTTTCTCTGAAACTGGTGTCAGAAGTCATCATAATGCTCCCCTGGACTGTTTTGTTTGGGGTTTTTCCCCTTTGAGATGGGCCAGTTTGGACCTGAGACTTAAAATGCGTTTTCCCATTTCTTCCCAAAACGTGGATAGTTCCTTTTGATCCCTGCCCTTCAGAGCAGAAAAGGCTGCCTGGCCTTTTTCCTCCCCAGCGGCAGCAGGAAGTAACACCACATTCTGACTTGGAACCTTCACTCTTTTACTATGTTTGTACCCAAAATCAAACCAAATCAGGCTGGGAGCCCGCAGAGGAGAAAAAAAAGTGCATCAGCAATGGGACATTCGAGTTGCCGGTGGGTGCAACCGGTGTCCCAGGTGCTTGTCCCGTCCCAGAAAGAACTCATAGACAAGACGCAGTGGTTAAAAAAAGTAAAGTGAGGATTTATTTAAGGATGGACAGGACACTCTCAGGGGAGAGCGGACAGCTCAGGTGGGCGGCTGCCCTGAGTTTCTTTGGCAAGTTGGTTACACAGGGTGTAAAAATGAATGGGCGGAATGTTCACTGGGGAGGGAAGGGTCTGGGGTCGTGTTCCCTGATTATCATCCCAACTGCACCTTCCCAAAGGGAGGAGGGACTTTCGTCCTCATTTAGTCTGGATCAGAAGTGTCCTGGCGTCGGTGCGTGATGGGTACTTCCGACCTGCGAGGCTAATTTTATTGAAATGAGGGCATAATGAGCAAAAGGTTGCATTTGGACACAAAATTCCTGCCTTTTCTCACCTCTCTTTTTTCCTCTCCAGGCCACTCACCACCCCAAAAGGTGTGGCCCCTTATCAGCCCAGAGGGTCCTGCTTTCTTTCTCTGCCCAGGGACCCCTGCTGCTCACATGGTGTGTGGTTCCCTGCATCCGGCCCGTGCCCTCCTTTCTGCCCCATTCCTGCCATGTGGTCTGCGTCCCCCTTTGCCTGCTCACATCTAGCTGCCTGCCTGCTCTGACATTTGGGCGTCTGTGTGTATTCAGACAGCATGAGATTTTGAAATTCAGAAACATTAAACTGTAGAGTGTTGTCTTTTAGAATTAAAGTAATGGAACAAGAAATATATATAATATATAAAATAATATCACATGTATTTATATAATATCATTATATAAAAATGAATATTATTGTGTATATAATATATAATCATATCCAAAGGCTAAAACCAAATGAGCTCTTTATAAAATGGACCTCATCCTGCAAAATAAAAGTAAGATCTTACATAAGAAATGGAAAGTTAACGTAAGGCAAATGGTTATGTAATCTGAAGGTGGTACACGTCCGTGCCTTCTCCTGGCGTGTGGCTAAACGGGCGTGTGTGATTTCGCACAAAACTCAGATCAACGAGGGTCCTCGCAAGCCCATCCCTAAGAGGTGTCAGTGCCTCCGTGACCAGCTCCGAGCGTCCACCCGGACATGTTGTCGCTGCCCCAAGGCTGGGCCAGACAGGCCCCCACGTCCAGGAGAAGCGCAGCGTGCAGGCCGGCACCGCACCTCCTAGGAACCCGGCCGGCACGTGACGGGTGGGGGCTGAGCCAAGACCGCTGCGGGCTGGGGCCCGCGGTCTCGTTATACAGAGGTTGTGGGTTATACGGGGACTTTGACCTTCACGGGGTGGGGGGAGTCAGTCCCTCGGAGAGGAATGAGGTGGAATGAGAGTCCTGCTTCCTGGGGCTCCGTGTTCTCCTCTGAGAAGCGGGCTCATGTGGTCGCCCAGGACCCCGGCCGTTCACAAACTGCAGGCTCTGAGAGGAACTGACGGGAGGGGGTAGCTCGGAGGTTGAGCGCGCGCTTGGCACGTACGAGGTCCTGGGTTCACAACAAACAGAAACAAAGAGTAACTGAAGAAGGCACAGGGTACTGGGGAGAGGGGTGCAGAGAAAGGATTATTGCTCAGTGTCCACGAAAAGTCCCCTGAGGCACCCAGTGTCAAGGAGGGACTCATGCCCAGAGGACCGAGCGACACAGAGCAAGGGGATGACGGTGGTGATGACAGATCCCAGGTCCCTCCCTGCCGAGTCCTTCCCCGCGCCTTCCACAGGCTGTGCGCGGGGCTCTGGGGGGCAGAGCAGAGCTTCCGGGGACAAAGGGGCCGAATAACTGAGTAAAAACAGAAGAGCAACCATGTCAGGGACCACGAGGGAGCGGCCGTGCCTCCTCCCCCAGGCTCTCAGGGGCTGTCACGGTCTCTGCAGGGACGTCCCGAGGGACGCAGGTGTTGCGCTGAGCAAAAGGCATGTGTGCGCATATGTGTGTTGTGCACGCATGTATCACATGGATGGGGCCGTGGGAACATCACAGGGGTCATCACAGCATCCAGACTTGTACAGAGGCCAGGACCAAGCCTGGAAAATTGACAGGAAGTGAAAGAAAGCCAGGGTGACCGAGTGCAGAGTGAGGGGTCTCACAGCCTCCACCCCCCTGCCCACATTATTATACGAATCTCCTTATGGAACACCTTGCTCCTCTGACCAGCAGCTGACTGCTTACGTTGGAATTGTCTTGCTTGAATTCAGACCAGTTGGGGTGGCTAACACAGGGGCTCAGGAGCTGTGTGACCTTGGGCAAGTTACAAAACCTCTCTGTGCCAGGCACAGAATAGAGCGAATATGAACACACACTGGGATGCTGTGAGAATTTACAGGTCCATATTTATTAAGTGCTTAGGACAGCTCCTGGCACGTGGTGTGGCTTGTCAAACACGGGACCAACGACTTGCCCCTCTGCCCCCCTCCGACGACGCCCCTCCCCCATCGTGCTCCCCCTGCGGGAGTCTGGGTGAGGGCAGAGCACTCCCCCTCGGCCGCCGTGCTGAACCCCAGGCTCGCTGAGCCTGAGTGAGGGTGGGCTCTTTGCACACGTGGAGGGATGTGACGGAAAGGTGTGCTTGCTCTTCCAGGAGGCAGAAATCCTGAACACAGCCATCCTCACTGGGAAGACGGTGGCCGTGCCCGTGAAGGTGGTCTCTGTGGAGGAGGACGGCACGGTGACGGAGCTGCTGAAGTCCGTGGAGTGCCAGTCGTCTGATGAAGATGTAATTAAGGCAAGTTGACACCCCTCTGTCATGTCAGCATCCGTGTTCATCGACCGGCTGGGACCTCGGGGTCCCCCCGCTCCCCCCACCCCTCTCTGGTTGCCGGCCAGTGACATTCCGTGCACTGGAGTAGAGCACGCTGAGAAACTGCTCTGGGAGGAGTCCTGGGCTGGGGGGCTCTCACCTTCCGTGCTTCCAAGTGCTTTTGGCCTCTTCCCCGCCCCTGGAGGGGGCTGTGGAGGGATGACCGACCGCCACCCTGATGGAGGGTACTGTCCCTCCACCGCCAGGCGGGGGATGGGCGTCAGACGCTAGATGGCCAGGATGCAGCCAAGGCTGTGAGATGGTGCCACAGCACAAAGCATTTGTGGGAGATCGAGGGGCGGACAGAGCGTGCAATTACGCCCAGCTTTGCTTGGAAACACCGGCGCCGGGGGAGGAGGAGACACCGTCCTGCATCCCCTGGCCGACCGTGGAATTCTCCTCCACGACAGGGGGAGGGCGTGACCAGCTCTAGCTGTTTAAGTGCTGAGGACTTCTCCCTTCCCTCCGGCTTCTTCCTTCTTGTTTTAAATTGAATGCAAACATCAGCCAGGACAGAGGCGCTCTGAGGTATGCGCTGGGCGGGGACTCTGAGCTTCCTCTGCCAGGCAGCCTGGCACACTTCCAGTCCGCAGGGGACAGGGGCTGCCACACGGCAGAGCTGCGGTGACAGAGGCACCCTGGCACCTCCTCCGAGCCGGCCCCCCCAGCAGACGCCGCAGGTTGGCCAGAGGTGGGTGGGACTTCCCCCGCCAACATGGTCCTGGAACAAGCCAGAGCCCAGTCTCTCTGCCTGTCATGCGCAGGGGCTCCCGGACCCCTCTGCCCCCACCCCGTGAAGCCCAGGGAGTGGTTCCACCCTTGAGAAGGGCATGGACAAAACGCAGATCGAATCTCCGCTGAGCGCTGGGTCCTGGGTCCTGTTTCAGATGTTAGGACCATGTGTTAGAGGCACATCCCTGTCCTTAGTTGCCCGGGGAGAAGGCAGAGATGTGAGAAGCAACAGAGCCGTGTGACACACGACGGAGCGCCCCACCGCCCGCTTACTCCAGAAGCTCGTTCACATCAGCCCGCGGCACATCCATCCCCCCAGCCGCCCAGACCGCTATCTCGGCACCTCCTTGATTTGTCTCTGCCCACATCCAGTCCTGCAGCAGATCCCACTGGCAGTGCCTTCTGGACACGCCCGGGGGCCCAGCCTCCTCCAAGGCGCCCCCGCCCCCCAGCCCAAGCCTCCCTCCCCTCCCCCTGGCTTCCCGGTGGCCGCCTTTCCCCTCAGCTCTCCTCTCAGTTTCCAGTGCCGCCGTTGGGGTGATCAAAACATCAGCCTGAAGATGTCATTCCTCGGCTCAAAACCACCCGCTGGCTCCCCTCCCATCCCGAGGGAAAAGCCGAAGTGTTTCCCAGGAAGCCCCGCCCCGCCCGCCCACCTGCCCCAGGTCTCCCCTCGCCCTTGTCGGGTCCCCTCTCGCTCTCTCTGTTCCAGCCACCCCGGACTCTCGCCTTTCCGGGAACAGTTCGGACACCCTCCCCTCCCACCCCCAGCCCGCTTCCTCTCGTGGACTCTGGCCCACAGCAGCAGCCGGGCCCCCTCCCTGCTCGCTCTCCGCGCCAGGGCCTCGCCTGGGCCTCGGCTGTAAGAGTGCCTCCGGGCACCGCCCCCCTGCCTGCCGCGACCGCTGACCCTCCACCCTTCACGTGTGTGCACCCGTGTTATCTATTTATAGGATATGCTAGACATTTATACACTAGACACATGGATAGGATTTTCAAATGCATTATGTACTGGACATTTTAATTTTGTTTATTGTCTGTCTCACCGGGACCGGAGCTCGGTGACAGCAGGGCGGCCTCGGTCCCCTTCATCCACTGCTGTTCCCCCGTCGCCTACAACAAGGCGAGGCATGTGGAGGGTACACAGCAAATGTTCATTGAGTGAATGAATGAACAGTGCAGGAACGAACAGGGAACCCTGAAGACAAAGCATATAACTGAATGGCGAGCGGGTTCTCGGGGGAAATACTGAAATCAAGACCCGAAGTTCAGCTAGATTAGAAAGACGTGAAAGGCCACCGCGGGCAGAGGGCACAGCGCGAGGGAGGGCGGTCGGAGGGTTCCCCCGGCCGTGGGGCCGCCTTCGCTTGGCCGCGCTGTGCGTCCAGCTAGAACCGAAGCAGAGGGTCGCTGCACACGCTCCTGGCAGAGCCCCACCTCTCCTGCCTCGGGCGTCACTCGGCTGCTCTGCCCCGGGGATCTGTGCAAACCCGGAGAGCTTTCTCAGCCCTGCGGGGAGTGAGCCTCCCAGGCGCAGCCCAGGCTCCTTCCTCCTGAAAGCGTGTCTTCCACATGCCCCCCCCCAGGCTGAGGCCCCCGGCAGGGCTGAGCCCCAGGTGCCCCAGGGGCAGCCAGGTCAACAGCCACACCTTCTACTGTTGTTTCCTCCCTTCCTCGCCTTCCTTGCTTTCCTTCCACCTGCCTCCAACAATCAGCCTCATGCCCGCACCTAACCCTTGTCTCAGGCTCTGCTTTTGAGCAGATGTGAGACGGCGGGACGGCAGTGAGAGAGAGCACGGGGTGCCCGGGAAACCGCTGGGGCTGGTCACGGCTCGACTCCGGGAGGGCTGCTGCTCGTGGTCATGATAAAACCCCCTCCCTCTGTGAAGCGTTTGCCATGTGCCAGGCACAGCGGCGGTCTTGACTTTCGGAGACGGGCAAGATCCTCCTTCGAAAAATGAGGAAACTGGGGCTCAGTTCAGTAGGCAGACATCACAGGCTGATATGCAAAGAGGCATCCTTGGAGAGGAGAGTCTAACTCAGGTGCTGGAGAGCCTTGAAAGCCGTGTTCTGGGGCTGACCTTAGTCCGGCGGATGGAGCATAATTGTTGCGCGGGTTTCAGCAGAGGGGTGGTTCGCTTGATTGCATCATCATTTAACCGAACAAGCATTTGTTGACCATGGTCAGGAAGTTCAACCATGATCATCGACCAGCTTGCTCTGGCCCATCCGACTTGCTTCTGCTTTTAAGATTCGGTCGAAGGTGTGCTTCCTCCATGAAGTCCTCTGTGATGATTCTGCCCCGAGTAGCTACTTCTTATCACTGAAATCATATGCAGTTTGATCCAGATGATCATTTATTGAGGACCCTTGACGTCATGGCCCCAGGAAAGCACTAAGGAAAGTAAGAAGGTGAGCGTGCCAACGAGGAAGACCTCAAACCACACATCCCACTGGGAGCTCTGTTACTTAACCCTGCAGTAGCTTCAGGTTTGCGGAGTTGTGCGTGTCATTTTATTTGGTTAATTATTACGCATGAGGTCGATTCCTGTTTTTGTGGGTTTATTCCCGATTGTGCAGCTTTTAGGAAGCTCTGCTGACTCCCGTACTGGACACTTACGCTTTCTCTCTCCAGCTTTCATTTGCCCTTTTTCTGGTAACAATAACCTGGTTTTCTCTAGAAAATTCCTCCACGTCTTTGCAGTAAATGCAGGCAAATTTTTTTTCCTTTTTCTTTCCAAAAATCTTTTTTCAATTTGTAAAATTTATTTTTATTGAGTTTTTATTGAGAGACAGTTGACTGACAGCCCTGTAGACGTTCAAGGCGAACAGCCTAATTATTGGGCTGACGTCACACAATGAGTGTCACTATAAGGTCTGTGGGCTTCCGTCACCTCGAATATGCACACCATTAAAGAAACAGAAAAAAATTTTTCCTTGTGATGCAAACTCCGAGGATTTAATCTCTCAACAACTTTCAAATAAAATACACAGCAGTGTTATTACATTTATTATCCATATTTATATTTTACTTGTATCTATTATATATTCATTATATTTATTGTGTTGGACATGGCCTCCCTAGTACCAGTTTATCTTATAACCAGGACTTTGTGCTGTTTGTCTGCCTTCATCCACTTTGACCTCTCACCCGCCACCCCAGCCCCCCCCCAGGAACCACAGATCTGATCTCTTTTTTCTATGAATTTGTTTGTTTGGTTGGTTGGCTGGTTGGCTGTGAAATACAGTTCACCTGCAATGCTATGTTCGTTCCTGTTACACAGCACAGGGATTTGGTATTTTTATACCTCTCAAAATCATCACGCTAAGTCACCATACAAACATGGCACCCCGCTGTTCCCACACGGTGTCCATGCAATTTAAATGGTGTTGTGCCCACCCCGGCTTCCAGGGGCCATGGGTCTAGCATGGCCAGCCCAGGCACAGCACAGCGTCCATCAGGGCGCTGGCCTTGGCTCAGCGGGAGACACAGTCTCCAATCCCAGCCTTGGGGGTGCGGTCTGGAGACTTGGGCTGGCAGTCCTGCAAGAGCAGTGCTTTCTCCCCTCCTGTTCTAACTCCCTGCCCTTGGGAGGATGTGCTGGAGTTGCGCGGTACCGTCTCAAGAAAGGAGCCTGCCAGGGAGTTAAAAGCAACGGAGAAAGCCAGAGCCAGTGTGCAGACGACTCGAGCCCTGACAGCGCCGCTCCAGGCCCCGACCCCCCGCACCACCCCCTAACCGTGAGCCAGCAGAGTCCTTTGCTGCGAAGCGACTTGTCTTCGTCCTGTCATTCCCGGTTCCTATTTGTGCCCTAAATGACTTGAGTCATCTTGGGAGTCATGAATTCACCCTCAGAAACTCAGAGGCTCAAGGAGAGCGCTGGAGAACCTCCCCACGTTCGGCTGCACAACTTAAAACTCAGAACCCGCAGCCCGCACCGCTGTCACTGCTGTCACCGCGCGGCGCTGTGACTCCCAGACGCTGAGAGAGAATCACCGGGTGCAGACGCTGCTGAGAAAGCAGGCCAGGGGCTGGGAGAAGGCTCTCTGCCACCCGTTCAGGCCCCCGGGAGACCGCCGAGCAGCCGGTCTGCCCTGGAAGCCCGTCTCCCCCGCCCCCGTCTTTCCCATTTGATTTGCTTTCTCTTCCTTTCCCAGCCAGGGACCCAGGAAGCTCGGTCCATGGACAAGCTCCCCTCAGGAAGTTCACCGGGAGACTCATCCTCACCGAGTCGTAAATCACCCGAAGGCACCTTACCTCCTGCCTCCCAAGGGCGGGGGGTTTTAAGAAGGCGACAGGTCCCTAGTGGACACATGTCAGATGTTGGTGGGTGGGCATGTGCACTGGGACCCTTAGGGGCTGGGGATAACAGGAAATCCCACCCACGCTGACTTAGGTTTATTAAAAAAAAAGTGGGGCTGAAGCAATGGAAAACTTCAACTAGGGGCGAGCTGACGGGGATTTTATTCAGGACCTCAAAAGATACCAGGGCCCTCTCTCTCCCTCCCCCCTACTCCCTCTCTCCATCTCTCTCCCTCCCTCCCTCCCTCTCTTGCCGTCTCTCTCTCCCCATCTCTCCCTCCCCTCTCCCCTTTCTTCCGCACGACCGTCATTCTCACGGAGGCTGCCCTAGTGGGAGCAAGATGGAGACCTTAGAACCAGCTCAAATGCAGCTGAAAAGAGTAAATGCCTCTAGGCGAGTCCTGTGGAGATCCTGGGATCTGCTCTGATGGGACCGATTTCGGTCACCTCCTCATCCTGGAAGCCCAGACACCCTAACACACTGCTTGCCCAACGCCTACATCACCCCAACGCACGTGAACTAAAACAGAGGGAGGGTGGTGGGGAGGGGGGCTGGGGCGCCCCCAGGGGAGGTCTTTGTGTTCTTGGCACGCAGTCTGGTGGGGGGGTTCCCAGCAGTGGAAACAGCATCCTCCACCCCCCAGCCACTTAGGGCTGGCCGAGCTGTGGGAGTTCAGGACCCCGTGGGCAGCTGCTCTACTGCAAAGCCAGCTGCCCGTCACCCACGGCGAGGACGTCGGATTTGGGCTGGAGCATCCGTCGCCGAAGGCTTGCTGAGCTGTGTTGAAAGTGCTCATGCAGCTCCTAGACACACAAGCGTCTCCCCCAAACAGCAGAAATGTCCTCCGGTGACCGCGAAGGGAGGGCAGCCCTGCTCCTCACAGCCAGACTCAGCGGACCCGCTTCATCCTCTTGCAAGATTCCGACGGCGTCAGGGCCCACGCCGCTTCTCCAACAGAGACGCGCGCCGGTTAGAGACCGGGCTTGACAGAGCCTGGCACGTTCCCCCAAGGCCGATCCGGGCGACGGGAACAGACCCCCATCAGGGGAGGGGTGCGATCTCGGGAGGGAAAGACCGCATTAGTCCCTTTTTTGTTTGTTTTTCTTTTCTCAGTCTGCTGATCCTGTACTGCGGGCCAGCATTTTTGCCCCCTCCCCATGAGGTTAGCCAAGTGGCTTCTTACACACCCGGCCAAGGAATCAGGCAGTTGCAATGGGGTCGCCTTCTCTCTCATGCTCGCCGCCTCCGCTGGGGCTTTCCCTGCGCCACCTGCAGGGGAACAGGTCCCGGGAAGCAGTTCAGCCGCGAGACAGCGTCTCCCCCCACCTGTGAGCACATGGCGCCTCTCAGATGCTCATATGGGAGACGCACGTTTTATTCGGTGAACAGGTATCTCTTGAGCTGTTTTGTTCAGCGGGGATGTTGGATGAGAGTAACCTCTCCAGAGACCCCTTCTTCCATCCGTCTTATGGTTCTGTTTAAAAATAAATCTCTCATATTGGAGTAGAATCTGCAGCTACAGAGTAGGGTGAAAATCCCCACTGGATGCAGGGGCTGGACCC